GATCATAATAATAATAATAACTAAATGCAGATAAAATATGTGTGAAGGAGTAAAAGTCGTTCCGTAACTATTTTATAAACAGTGTAGGTAGATCAGCTTAGCCTTACTTCTCTTTCAGAAATATCTAAGCTTAATCGTAACTTTACGTGTATTCCCTCAAAAGGATGATCACTAGTAGTGGTATAAACTAATTTTCGACGTAATAGAAAAGGAAAAAAAAAAAAATTCCGAGATATTTTGGTTAAATGAACATTTTTGTGACTTTATTTTCTAATACATAAATTATATTACGAGCAAAACGACAGAACATAATCATAGGAATCGTGTATATATATATATGTACATTATATGCGTTTTTATATGAGTATGATTGACATTTGGAAGTATTGTTACGACAGCGGAAGTCACGCGACGCTAGAAGCATGCGCGATGGAGTTTGTTTCTAGAAGGATCATGACTGTTCCTGGCAACTCTAGTATTTGAGTATATAAGCCCAGCAAATTGCAGATAGGGAGATGTAGAGACAGATAATTGAGTCAAGTGAGCGGTAGTGACCGTAAATAAAGTGCGTGAATTATAGCGTGTGTTTACGTTTAAAGTGACTGTGGAAATTAAGTGTATTATAAAGTTTGTAACGAGAGAGAATAAACTAGTTTTAATTAAGAAAGGACTTCTATCGTTGAAGTTTCTCGGAAAGAATTTTTACGGGAAATTATCAAACAAGCAGATACGCGACAGTATCAAATCGTATCTTCAGGTGCAAAGGAATTCGGGCATTTTGGGGATTCTATATATATTTTCACGTGTCATATTTTTAACCTCTGTAAGGCAAGCCTTACTTCGCTTAAAGTAATATAAAAATGAATAAGTGATTTAACCGGTTAAATGTTTAGTTGTAAAATGATATTTCTGGCCTGCTATTATAAGCATAACTGATATATTTTGGGTAGCTTAGCAAGGTGACGCTTATCGACATTTGGCACAATTAAATAGTTCATTCAAAGATGACAGTAATCCTTTAGCTCTTTGTTAAATGTGTTTCATCTTAGATAGGAGACAAGGAAGTTCACAGCTGTATTTCCAGTGGTGCACTGGACATTCCGGTTCTGTTAGTATAGGCAGTGTCTGCTCAGCTTCACGGTGTCAGTGACCCTGATAGTGTTGCCATGACAGCGCTGTCAACAATGCGGATAATACTCGTGCATCTGTATTATTAAATCTATACTATCAGTCACTGTTTTTGGGTAGTGCAGTTGCTGCTCGGGATTTTTGTAAAACCTTAAGGCTTTAGTTAAAATTATATTGAAAAAAGTTTTATGACTGTCAATTACTCTTCCAATCCTCATTTCTCTCTCTTGCAAGTAGTCATTACACGAGAAACATTGAAGTTAAACTATATATATATATAAATTAAATATACATACACACACACACACATATATATTTAATCTCACACACCATTTCTGTTCTTCCGTACACTAATTTACACTTGCTGACAAGAGAATTTATGGCTGAACTTTAAATATTTCTTTAATATAGTTCCCCGTATGAAAAGAGGAATGGTACTCACGGGGTTTATGGTTGCTTGCGTGTGTGGGAAGAAGTAAGTTATTCAGGGTAAACCACCTTCTTAAGAAAGTAATTTTTCACATAACTAAAGTTGCTGTATCACATAATTACATAATATATAGTGGAAACGCAAAAGTGAGTTATTTTTAACTTACAGATTACAGACTTTGTTTTTATTTCCACTTGATTGACATTAGCAGAAAATTAGATCTAATTTCTTACTTTCTATTTTCCTTTTCTTATTTCCTAAAGACCGTGATAGAAAACTCTTGTTACCTTTTAATTCAATCTTATGTATAAAATATTTAACACAAGGTTAACAAATGCAGTATTTGTGAGTCAGACATTTAACTGTCAATAGATAGTAAAAACTAAACTTTGATAAAAAAATGAAAGAGTAAAATTTTAATAACATTTTCGTATTTATCAATTTCATTTTTTTAATTTTATAGCTTTACTGAGATGCCCCGTTTCCTTGAAGTTTGTTACTTAATACACATAACTGACTGTTATATGTATTTTCATTTTAATTAGATGTTAATTTTCTGGAAAGTTTCGACAGTTTTTTCCTTTCAAATTTTTAATTGCTTATTAAATATTTAAGTGGTTAAAACCGAAATATATTGCTAGTTATAAAACATAACAATTCTAAGAACCCACGAGAGGAAGTAAATGTTAGACAGTTGTTCACTATTGGTAACTTCTTTGTTTAAGAACTAGCTGTCAGAAATTATAATATTTATAGTTTATTTTTCTAGGGTGATCTTTGATTTCATTACACATTTTGGTATTTCTGAACAATTGTATCAGAAATAAATAATACAATTCGCTAAATCACTGTTCACAAGTCACAAAATTACTTTTGCTTTTTTGTCTAGTTGCATATTTAAATTACTATCTTCCTTAACTTCATCCTCACTATTTTTTTTCTTTTCTGTTTTTTATAATTTTCACTTAATAGATTGTACTAGTGCTGAAGTTGCAATTGGTAGATTTGTTATCCACACTGCTATTTTTTTTTTCTCTTGCTACTGTCCAGGTTTTTGTTTTGGAAGAATTGGGGATAATAGCACACAGTATCATGTTTATCTGTTTAATTTACTGTTATGGTAGGTGGAAACCTTAACACTCCACTCAGAAATTTTAGATAATTGATGATCTCACAAAATTCTTTCATCATTGATACTTGCTGACTTCCATGAAACCTCTGTGTTCCATTATTTGTGTTCAGCTTGGTATTCAGCTAAATTGCAGCAAAAGGCAATAGATATATGTTAGGTGATATGTTCAGCTATTTTAATATCATGGCTATGGTTCGGTCTATTCATCTTCCTCCAAGTCTTAACCTAAGTAATTTGAGTCCAACTAGTAGGATTCTAGTAGGACAGAATGATTTTGTCAGTTAAGCATTGTTGTCCAACTGATGGCAAGAGTGGTTGCCACAAAATTACTTCTTAGTGTTATTATATTGTTTTGAAAATAGGAACCATTTACTTGCACCATATTATGGTGACTTGACCTTTGAAGGTTTACATAAACCTTACACATTTACTCTGGGAATTTCTTGCACGTTGTCTAATGCCTCCTTATTCAATTATGCCTGAATGAAAACATAAAAAATAGACTAAGTTGGATTTCTCTAAAATAAAGTAAATATCAGAAAATAATTGTTAAGTAGCCTATTGAATGACCACAAAAACTTTCCACTTTCACCCTGTTGTTTAATAAAACACTTCTATAACTTTTGGTACACAATGAACTGTTTTAACTGCAAAATGTTGGGAAATTATTTTCTGCAACCTGTAGGTTAATAATATTGTCTCTTTCAACCACAATAATTAGAAATTAACATTTAGTGGTACATAAAAAAATTAAAAATTATCCATAAAAGATCATAGAAAAATGAACAGTTTTCTGGAAAATACCTTCTGGTAATATTTCAGAACTTCAAATAGAAAAAACCTGCATCCCTAATTTTATTGTTGATTTTTTTGTCTTTCAGTTATATCTAGACAATGTAGTAACTTAAAAGATTGACTTATGAAATTACCAAAGAAAATTTTGAATAAAATAATTTCTTAGATACAAAAGAAATCCCTAAAGTGTAGAATATTTAAAAAATTGTTTACTGAATTGTAATTTCTTTATAAATAGACTAAATTTTAAAACTGTTAACTTTGTTCATGAACCTGCATAACTATCAATCACAATGAATATAATTAATCACCAAAACCAACTAGATAAACCTTCTATCATCAACAGTTTGATTAATCACATGCCATTATATATATTTGAGTAACTACTAATCATTCTGAATGAATATCATCCTTTAAAATTTAAAAAACATTCATATTTGTTTCATCTAGATGAAAATCTAATATTAATTTACATGTGTACCTGTTCAATTATATTCATATTTGTTGCACCTAGATGAAAATCTAATATCAGTTTATATATATGTACCTGTTCAATTGTATTCATATTTGTTGCATCTAGATGAAAATATAATATCAGTTTACATATGTACCTGTTCAATTATATTCATATTTGTTGCATCTAGATGAAAATATAATATCAGTTTACATATGTACCTATTCAATTATATGTCTGCTTCTTAACTATTTAGTTTTAACTCTGCTTTTTGCATTTTTGTCCATATATCAAAAATCTTATCTGCCAGTCTTGGTAAATCTTGTAACATCTGATACTTTAGTTTGTCTCAACATTCTCCTTTTTTGTGGTTTTTCTCATCTCATGATCTTACATCTTGTATATGGTACATGAAACCAGAAGACACTTCTTTATAACACATATGATATTTTTAATCTTAATTTCTTTTTTATTGGCACACAGTTATATTGTAAGAGTAATTTTACTTACTTATTGTTTTGTCTAAACAATCAGCACCGTATTGTAATGTAAGTTCAATCACACATGTTTTTTGTGTTGCCTAAATCAGTGGTTCCCAACTGCTTGTTCATGGACTGGTGCTGATCCACAGGGAGATTTCAACCAGTCCACAAGATGGTTGGGAAAAGAAATGGGAAAAAAAATATAACTAGAGTACATTGTTTTACAATGTAATTTAAAAGTATTCTTAAAAAGTTAATATTGACTGTAAAATTTTGGGATCATAACTAGCTGGTCCTCAGTTGGAAAAAAGTTGGAAACCACTAGCCTAAATTATGATGAACAAGGATTATCTGCCTTGTGAGTACATGCCATTAGCAAAAATATAATTCACTCTAATTTATTTTTTATTACACCTGAAGATTTGGTTTAGATTTTACATTTGTAACAGGTAATCTCTATTGTGTTTTGAAAGACACATTGTTTATGTGGATATCATTATGTTTAGGTCATATTGATCAGTTTTTAAACATTTGTCAAAGTAATGCTTTTTTAAGCATATGATATTATTTACAATGTAGGAAAATGATGAACCTGAACCTGAAAATGAAGAATTCATGGAGCATGGAAGCATTTTGGATAAAAAGTAAGTGTTAATGAAAAAAACATAAGTAGGATCACACCTTAATATATGGTAAAAAAAAGAAAAAGGTGACAAAACTAAAGCTTACTCTAAATACTGGTTATGAACTTATTACAATATGACAGAGTAAAGTTTTCCATATATAAATTAACAAGCTGAAATACCCATCAACTGATGGGGAATGTTTAATTTAATGAAAACAATGTAAGTTTAACAGCAATCATATACTTCAAAGTAATAACTTGAACATAAACTATATCTCATAATTTTAAAGTTCTAATAAATCTTCTTCATAAAC